CACTGTTGCTATTTCCGACATCCTACCTGTGTGAGGCTGGGGGTTTCTGCAGCAACGGCGACGAAAACAAAATTACGAAGTAGACTCGACATAAACCACACACTTGAGGTGTCATTGTCTCCTATTACCCCGAGATGGGACCGTCTGGTTGCAGAAAATCAAGCTCGGTGCTGTGGTGAGTCGTCATTTTCATGCACTTTGAATTTGCGTTGTATTGTATTTTGAAGGCATTAAACATTGCCATAGCGATCGGAGTGTTGCGGCCAGATTAGACGCTCCTTGTGTTTATTGTTATATTTCGAAAACGCCACAGTTTTCATGCCGCTCATACCATATTATTTTGTTGTATTATTTCCGTCACACCTTAAATGCCGGTCCCTGAAAATATTGTCTGACATAAACCGGTCCGTGGAGCAAAAAAGGTTGGGGGCCCCTGGGCTACAGCATGCCTGTAACCCTCGTGGGCATAAGCGGATTATGAAATGGATCGATGGATGAACAATGTTCCAATTTCATTGGAATTGGGTTTGGATGACGGGGAAACGAGATGTCCGGTGAAGATGATGTCGCGTCATTGCCGCCCGTAATTAAAGAACTGTCTGTGTGGTTGTATTATATCTATTATTATACTGTATGCAGTATGTTTACAATATCCAGGTCAAGTGGCTAGTTTACACTTTAAATGTTTGCTTTCATATCACTTGTTCGGTCTCAAACCCAAGGTTCGGTGAAATGTTTTGTATTTTATAAGTAATGAAAACAAAATTTATTATTATTAAATAAATCTGCTCTAATGGGACAAAGAGAATACTGATGTTGATTATTTTAATTTTTGTGAAGAAATGTACAAAAAGTGTTCTTGCACTCAGACCAATTGCAGAACTCCGGAATGCGCGGTGTGCCATGAGTAAGGGAATTTCTTCGGGTACCAACTTTGAATGGGGTTCAACATCGAAAGTTATGATTTGGACCATTTCACCCACTGTTAAGTTGATGTTTTTTTTAAATGAACCTCTTTTAAACTGCGTTGTGCGATACTCCGTGCACTGACCGCCCTCTGCTGTGACACGATAGTTAAGATTCATTATGTTTTTAATGACATTTGTGCAGCAAATGGGACGTGTGTACAACACTGGGATATGAGGATGACACAGGTAGGACATTTGTGGTAATTGGCTTTGCACCAGCGCATGGTGATTGCAACACATACCGTTATGAAATGTGTTTCGCGATCAATCGGCAATGTGACATGTCGCAATAATGTTTAAAGGACAATATTTAGAATATTTAGTGCAGAATGTTGCTGCGTGGCTTTTATGGCAAAAAAAATCAAAAACATGACAGCACATCACTCTGATTTTAAAGTTTTTGCACTGGCTTCCAGTTCGGTTCAGTATTGATTTTAAAACTCTTTTTTGTTTTTCAGTCCCTACATGGGCTCGCCCCACAGTACTTGTTTGACCTGCTCTCGCCCTCCACCCTGGCGCGTTACCTGAGGTCGTCAGATCAATACTTGCTCACCATACCAAAATCAAAGGGAAAACGTACATGGGACCGCGGTTTTTCAGATGTTGCTCCAAAATTGTAGGATGAGCTGCCTCTGCACCTGAGACAGGCCAATTCAATTCCTGTTTTAATTAAAATCCTCTATTGAAACACACTTGTTTTTCCTCCGGCTTTTACCTCGGTTTGAGATGTTGATGTTTCATTTATTTTTCTGTGTCTTATTTTCTAAACACGTTTTTTACTTTCCTGGCATCGGTTTTATACTGGTCGAGTATCGCTGGTATTTTATCGAATTTCATGTATTTACTGTATTGATGGGGACAGTCAGATCCTGCAACGGACATTTTCATGTCGAATGAATGAATTCATGAACGAATTGTAAATTGACCCGTGTCACAGAAAAGATTGTGGTCAATCGAAATAGTTGCAATGCATCTTATTATCAGCATCATTTAAAATTAGTGCGGCTCCCGCTTTTACATGAAACAATAAGTTTGAAGCAGCTTTAAAAAGCTTGTTTCAAAATGTTGGTGTTGAAAAGACCAAAAAGCCCAAATCTATACCTCCTTTTTGCAGTAGCACTGCCATCCTGTTCAGCCTTTCTCCACAGGTAGACCAGCAGCCTGTGCTTAAGAGAGTTGATCGTTTTGTCTGTGTAGAGACGCGGGATGCCCGGCTGGCTCTCAGCCTGAGTCTCTGTGTAAACAGCCGAAAGAGTCAAGAGGTCATCCTCATAGCAGAACCGCCCTATGGTCCTGACATCCAGAAATGTTCCCTCTGGAGTCACCTGCAAAGTAGAGGCAAAGACTTAGGGCGGGGGTCGGCAACCAGCGGCTCCAGAGCCGCATGCGAGCCTTGTGGCTCCCTGGAGCTTTTTCAAAAATGCTGGAAAATGGAAAAAGATGGGGGAGGGAAACATATTTTTTTGTTTTAATATGGTTTCTGTAGGAAGAAAAACATGACACAAATATTCTTAACGTTTTCCGATGCTGTAAAAATGTGTAGAATAAATATTAAATTTCAACGTTTCTGTGAACAAAGACTTGCGTCATAGCCTGCGACACATGTTTCTATTAGCAGAGTGGGATGCCAGGCAGTTGGCTGTTGCAAAAAAAAAAAAAAAAAAAAACAGGAAATAAAACAGCCTTTCCTGTACAATTCACCGGGGGTACTGGCAAAGAATGAGAATGTGGAGGGATGAGAGAAGCATTTTAAAACGGTACACGTAAGCTATGATGGTGAACACGTTGCAAAAGTGCGTCCCATGCCTCTGTGTCGTGTCTCGACGAAGGTAGGTAGGCATGTGTTGGTAAGCGCATGCGGTTACGGGTCGATCGCGGTAGGTTGGTTGATCGAAAAGTAGATCTTCGGTCAAAAAAGGTTGGGCACCCCTGCTCGACAGGATGCAGTGCAGGGAAAAAAACATTTAATCATGGAGGCTCATTGTGTATTTGTAGCCAACTTTGTCATTTTGATTGTAGGCTAATATAGCGCTCACATAGACACATAAAGCATGTGTTTCCTTCGTTATAAGGCCTTTATTTATTATTTATTTTGCGGCTCCAGACAGTTTTTTGTTTTTTTTTTGGTCCTATATGGCTCTTTCAACATTTTGAGTTGACGACCCGAGTTAGGGGATGTTACTAGATTCTTTCCGAATTGCCTAATTGTATCTGCAATTGATAGCTTTGGGTATTGCCAGTAATTTGCAACGGTAGGTGCGTCATGCCAAAAAAATCTGACTACCTGAAAGACATGTATAGTCTGCTGCTGGACCGACAGCACAGCCAGGATGTTTCTGTAGAGGTAGAGGCCCTGATTGTGGGACAAGATGATCTTGTCAAATTTAAAGGACCTGGTGTCACACAGTCTGCCCGTATGGAGGTCGATGATGTGGAGGGAATAGTCCTCTAAAGGGGAGCGAGGATTAGGAGTCACAGATTCGTTGTTGCGATAAACCTGTTGGCAGATGACAGCATATGTTGAACAACAACACACTGTATAAAGTGATTTCTATAGATATAAAATTTTTTAATCTTGCGCGGCAGTTAAGATCTTTGATGCTGTACCTCAAAGAAGTATGGTTGTGGCTCCTCGGGGACATACACGGCTGAGCCGACAATGACATAGCGGCAGTCATCGGTGAAGAGGCTACATTCGCGGTTGAGGTGCTCTCCATTTGATGCCACATTAGTGACATGGAGCAAGGAGAAAAAACGTTCAAATAGGCGGCCTCGGATATTGAGGGAGCGCTGGTCGTTGGCTGTTAAAAGAGTCTCACCCTCCTGGCCTCTCAGCAGGTCCTGAGCAGCTTGGCAGCCTTGGTATTCATAAACCTGCAAGACAAATACTGGATAAATGATCTGTGGATACAGTAAGAGGTCTTTGTAAATTGTGGTCAATAGCTTCTGACCAGCTCATATCAGTCTGGCACAATAAAGTTGAAATTAGAAAAAAGACACTCCTCTCTGTTTACAATGCCAGTTTTTTTGTGACATAATAAATGAGACCAAGAAAAATCATTTTAAAACTGTCTACCCTTTACAATGCTGTCAAAAGGTATTTGCCCGATTTTCAAATTATTATTATTTGTTGTCCACACATTGTTTAAGATCAACACATGTATAATGCTGTCAAATAGTGTTTGCCCCCTTCCTGTTTTCTGTATTCTATGCATATTCATCACATACAAAGGTGTCAGTCAATTCATCAAACCAATTTTGATTTCACACAGAGACTACCCAAGGAAATACAAAATGCACTTTCTAAATAAATATCAATCTAATTTATAAATGCACAAACCCCCCCCACCCAAAAAAAAAAAAAAATCCAAAACTACCTGTCCCTATGTGTAAAAGTAATTGCCCCTTGTTAAATCACAAAGTAACTGTGACTAACAACAGTTTCGGGAAAGCTGAGTTCAATTTCACAGGCAACAACCAAGCACCACATTTGTTGAATCAAGAAATCCCATAAATAGAATCTCTCTGACGAAGTGAAGTAGGTTACAAGATCTCAAGAAACAAATGTATCATGCCACGATCTAAAGAAATTCAAGAAGAAATTAGAAAAAAATGTTACAGAAATCTATCAGTGTGGAAAAGGTTACAAAGCCATTTCCAAGAACAATGCAGCTTCAGCAAACCACTGTCAGAGACATTATCCACAGATGGATAATACTGGGAACAGTGGCAACCATTCCCAGAGTGGTTGACAAGCTAAAACTGCTCCAAAAGTGCAACGGTGACTCGTCCAGGAGGTTGCAAAAGAACCTAGGGCAACACCCAAAGAACTCCAGACCTCGCTGGCTTCAGTTCAGGTGAGTGTTCACAACTCTACCAAAAGAAAGACATTGGCCAAAAATGGCATTCGAGGAAGAGCTCCCGGGCAAATAAACTGCCACAGACTGTGACCCTCCCCCCTCAGCTTCTGACATCCGCTTTTTGCACTTAAACAATTCACTACCTATCTTTAACCCGCAATAATCACACGTGCCCTTGGTTGTCTGTTGATTGTTGATTGCTATTTATTGTTTATATTTGTTTATATTGATACATTTATGTTTTTTTTATACAGTTCAGTTTTCGCTGCCCTTATTTTTAGCTGTGTGTATTTTTAATGCACTGCATGTTGGCACTGTGGTTGAGGGGAAAGAAATTTCAGCTGTGCTGTATGTTGTACATAGAGAATATTTGACAATAAAGCTGACTTTTGACTTTGAAAAACCACTGCTGTCAAAGAACACAAAGGCTCATTTTCAATCAACATTCAATGAACATCTGAGGGTATGGATCGATGAAAAGTGGAGTGGACCTGGAGGGAGGTTGAGAGGTTTAGATGGACGGCGGATGGGTTAATGATACTTTCAATTTCAAAAGGCCCAATGAACCTGGCGGCTAGCTTATGGGAATCCATCTGGATGGGAAGGTCACGAGCAGACAAAACGATTTGCTCTGGGCGACAGTTCAGGGCAGAAGCCCAATGTCTCGACCCCACTTGACAGTTGTGCTATGCTGTGCAGGACAGGGCAGCTCTGACATGTCTCCAGAAGGACGACAATGAATGTGGTGGGCAGGGACAAAGGGATCAGCGACATGCCTGGGGAGGAGGAGGTGAAGGAATTGTGGGAATAGTCAACCGATGGAAGGTGTAGGCTCCAGGAGGGTGGATGGAGGGCCGAGACATACCTAAAGGCTGACTTCAGGTCCTGATTGGCTCTCTCTGAATGTCCACTGCAAGTCAACTTCTCAATGGCTTGAAATAATAATAATAATAATAATAATAATAATGGCGTGTCCTAGTCAAAGTAGAGACTTGAAAGTGATTGAAATGCAGTGGACTAACCTTTAATAGGCTGGTCAAGCTCAAAAGCCCTCCAGCGTTCCCGAATTAAACCATTTGTGCTGGAAGAGTGAGCCAAAATATCTCCACAGAGATATGAAAGACTCATTGCTAGTTACAGAAAAACCTTGATTTTGGTTGTTGCTTCTGAGGGTGGCCCAACCAGTGATTTTTAGGGGCAATCCCTATTCCTAGAGGGCAAAGTATTTTTTTTTCTCGCTTAATAACAAAAACCTAAAATTTAAAACTGCATTTTGAATCATATTCAAATGTGTTTGATGTTCAAATGTGAAAATCATGCAAGAAAAACAGAAATCAATAAGGGACAAACACTTTTTCAAACCACTGTAAACAGCTCCCTGAAGGTTTTAAAGGATCTCTTATTGGCCATTATATTTTTAACAAAGGCCAGTGCTGATCCATTGATCCATTTTCTAATGAGCTTCTCCTCACAAGGGTCGTGGGCATGCTGGAGCCTATCCAAGCTGTCTTCGGGAAGTAGACGGGTTGCACCCTGAACTGGTTGCCAGCCAATCGCAGGGCACACAGAGACGAACAACCATCCACACTCACATTCACACCTAGGAACAATTTAGAGTGATCAATTAACCTGCCATGCATGTTTTTGGAATGTGTGAAGGAAACCAGAGTACCCGTAGAAAACCCACACAGAACTTGCAAACTCCACACAGCCAAAGCCGGATTCAAACCCTGCACCGCTGCGCTGAGGCCAAGGTGATTTCCAGTTGACCACTGTGCCGCCCTGACCAGTGTTGACATTTGTCAAAATGCGGAATATTGGTCTATCCCGAATTAGATTCAAGGGGTGTGAAAAAGACATTTATTTTATACTTGAATCAAGAAATCTAATTGTACCTCCAGAGATGTCTGGTCAGATGAGAAAGCGATGAAGCAGCGTCCATCAGGTGAGAACTTCCTCAGGAAACAAGGAGGCTTTTCCACATTGACTACCGTAAAGTTGGGAAACAGGTTCTGGTGGAAGCAGCGTACTCGGTACCAATGAGCTCCTGGTCGGCCCGAACAGACTCTACGCTTCTCAAGACGATGGACCACATTTTGATTCTGGATGCGTCTGGGCTTAAGGGTGGGTGTGTCCTCATCCATCACTTCGGAGTATTGACTCAAAGCTCTGCTTATTCGGTAGATGGTGTGGACAGCTGGAGAGGCTGAACAACTACATCATTGCCCAGCTACCTCAGTGTTTAGGAAAAACTGAAATGGAGAAACAGAAAATCTGTTACGACATGCTGCTTTTAAACCACAACTGCAAAATTCAATCACAGACTGTGATTACAGGGAACAGTTATCCCTGAGTAACTGTCACGTACAGCACATTTCAGGCTCTACTCCTTATCCACTACTCAAAATATTGTTTGCACAATTTAAGAACGATATCCTAGCAAGGACTGCAACACTTCAAACTTTGTAGTCCTGGTCATATTTGAGCATGGCCAGGGCAATGTATCCAGAATACGGGTGCAATACCTGGATGATTAAACCTTGAATGTCATGAGCCCGATTTTCCTAATGGAGAACAAGCAAATTCCACACATGAAGGCCCGTGCCCTGATTTGAACCCACAACCACTGAACCGTGAGGCGGATGTGCTAAGCAGTCGATCAACGCGCAGCCTTATCATATTCAATTTGTCAAAATGAAACACTAATTAAATTGTCTTATCTACTGTGTCCCATATTTTTGCATAAAAAAAAAAAAAAAAAAAAAAAAAAAAGACCAAGGGACATCTGACAATGCTCTAGATCAGGAGTGCCCAAGTCTGGACCTCAAGAGCCCCGATCCCCAGCCTGTTTTAGATGCCTCCCCAACAGACTTGATTCAACTATCATCTGATCATTTGAAAGGAGTGTGTAGGAAGTGTGAGACATCTAAAACAGGCTGGAGAGGGGCTATCGAGGACCGGGCTTGGGCACCCCTGCTCTCGATTGACATAGTAGCAACAGATGTCCCGTGGTGCCTTTTAAAGTCAGCCGCCTGATGCTGCAAAACCAGCGGTGCATCATTATCGGTCCCAAGCAAGGATAAAGGTTTCAACAACAAAGACGTGACATAATAATTGGCCCCCCCCCAAAAAAAAAAAAAAAGAAACATGCAACTTGAGACCTAACTAGGCTGCCCCCAACAAGCAACGGTGAAAGTACACGCTCTGACACTCGAGAGAAATGAGTGATGGTTACAAATTGATGAGGGGACTGATGGGCCCTGTTAAAAGGGATATGAAAGCCATGGGCGCAAAGAAAGAAAATGCACTTTATTGAATTGGTTCAAATGAGGAAATATGGCTACCATGGTAATCCCACTTTTAAACAAGAGCAGTTTGGAGAAGAATAGCATGTCCCCCAGAATGCTTTGCAGATGTCCAAAAAAGAGAATGGATCTGAAATGACGTGACAATATTAGTTCATAGTACGAACATAATGGTGAAATAAAGTCACACCCTTCATCTCCACTATGAAAGTAGTAAGCGTGCTTTTGTCAGAAATTATGAGGTAACCCAAGAGACTTATTCCAATAGGGGCAGTTCAGTGTCCGAGCAGTTCGTCTGCCTCATATTTCTAGTTTAGGATTTGAATCTCTGCTCCAGCCTTCCTGTGTGAAGCAGGTTTTCTCTTGGTTATCGCGCTTTCCCCGACACGTGAACATAATTGTTGATACCTTTCTGATGATGGCAAAAAACTCACAGCAATGATAATATTACAGTTTGAGCACTGCAAGTCCCAGGGACTCGCTGATCAGAAAAGTATGAGTCCCATTATGCATTTAGAGAGTCCCAAATTTCGACTTCTGAAATGGTCTACTTATTCAATTGCATATGATAATAACACAAACAACAACAATGGACATTGATAATAGGTTTATTTCTTATGAACAAATGCTGCAAAAATTTAAATAATTCAGGCATACAAGATTTGCTGAGAAATAGGTTCTTATTTCATCCCATGGTTCAGTCTTTGAGTTCATAAATTCTCCTCTTTTTACTCTGCTTCCAATGATGTAAGGCATTCTCAAAGTCAACTAATTATCGCAAAAAACGATCCAACTTTAGCTGCTTCCTCTGTGATATCTCCGCAATAAACTTTCGCAACACTTGTTTTAACGTTACACAACTTGGCAATCGTCTGCCGATCTCGCCAATCTCGTCTTGCGAGAACGGAAATCTCGTCACGCGAGCTTACTTAATGCAAAATAAAAACAACAATGGCGGCGAATGTCAAACTGCGATCGTTGCTGGAAAAAAAGATGTACTGTAGTTTTTTTGGTTTTGACTGAGAAATTTCCTTGCGTCCCAAAAACGCACATTATTTCGAACTGTGCGTGTGCGTCCCGCGGGATAATTATGCGTCTCGGACACGGGAAGCAGAGGTTACGAGATGGCTGCTCACAATGGTGTCAGAAATAACTTGAATCAGACAAAAGTAAGAATCAACAAAAGATGTAATGAAAATTACCCAATGAAATTCGACATTTCTTCTAAATTGTGGTTCAATGAAATTATGAAAAACAACCCAAAAAGACCTCATAAAACAGGCCTGTACAAAAATTATCCGATGCATAGAAAATATTGAAAATAATTTGACCGCAGGAACGTATTCAACCAAGGTCTGTCCTCTAATTGGCATCACAGCTGTCTTCAAACTGGTAATCAATCAGTCAGTCAGCCTATTTAAAGGGTGACAAGTAGTCACGATGATTTTGGTAAACATCGACCGGAGGAAGCGGAGGAGGGAGTTGGCTCAGGAAATTAGAAAGAAAATTATAGACAAGCACAGTAAAGGTAAAGGCTATAAGACCATCTCCAAGCAGCTTGATGATTCTGTGACTAGTTACACAGACTCAAAAGTTTGAGATCCACAGTACTTTAACCGACCTCCCTGGAGATAGCTGATGACAAATTGGAGACAGATAATACGATAGAAACAAAAGAGCCCAGAACAACCACCAAAGAAAGTAAAGATGAACTCCAAGGTCAAGACACATCAGTGTCAAATCGCACCACCGGTCGGCTTTTGAGTCAAAGAGGGATGCGACCAAGGAGGAAACCATTGAAAATAAATCAAAGAAAACCAAGACTGAAATTTGCCCAACTGCATGGTGACAATAGACAAAGCTTCTGGGATCATTTCCTCAGGGCAGATGAGACGAAACTGGAACGTTTTGGCAAGGAACATCGGCTCTATGTTCATAGATAGGTTGTTCCATGCTAAATAACCCAGTGAGTTTAACTTAACAGATTTTGATTTTACTGAAACTTGGTGTACAGCATTATATCTCAAATTTTAGGTCAATCGCAGGTAGGAGTTTGGGAGCTAAGGCCCACCGAATGTTATCATTCACCTTCGCCGAGCCAGAGTCCATCTCAGGAGCCTTTTGTTTAGATTGCCTCTGCCGACTTCACTGCGTGCCATTCCCAAAACCAACCAACCCCACGCAGGTCCCATTGGCCGTCTTCTCGTCCAAGACGTTGAAAGTGCGATAAAAGGTCACCAGAACTCATCAATTTGTACTGTATTCCAATGTCGATTAAATCCACAAAATAAATATGAATAAATGTTTGCTAGGAGGAGCAGTGTGGTTTTCGTCCTGGCCGTGGAACAGTGTACAAGCTCTACACCCTTAGCAGGGTCCTGGAGGGTACGTTGGAACTCGCCCAACCAGTCTACATCTGCTTTGTGGACTTGGAGAAGGCATTTGACCGTGTCCCTCAGGCAGTTCTGTGGGGGGTGCTTCGGAAGTATGGGGTACCGAACCCCCTGATACGGGCTGTTCGGTCCTTATACTACCGATGTCAGAGTTTGGTTCGTATTGCCGGCAGTAAGTCGTAATTGTTTCCAGTGAGGGTTGGACTCCGCCAAGGCTGCCCTTTGTTCATAACTTTTATGGACAGAATTTCTAGGCGCAGCCGAAGCATTGAGGGGGTCCGTTTTGGTGGCCTCAGTATTGCATCTCTTCTTTTTGCAAATGATGTGGTACTGTTGGCTCCTTCAAGCAGGGCTCTCCAACTCTCACTGGAGCGTTTCGCAGCTGAGTGTGAAGCGGTTGGGATTAGCATCAGCACCTCCAAATCTGAAACAGTGGTCGGAAAAGGGTGGAGTGCCCTCTCCGGGTCGGGGAGGAGATCTTGCCCCAAGTGGAGGAGTTTAAGTATCTATCTATTTTGTAAGCCTTGAAGCATTAATATTAATTTGTGCAATTGCATTGCCATGAATTTAGTGCGGTTAGTACACAGTCATAGCCATCAGTTATAACTGCGGTCAGATGGTGAAGAAAAACATCGGGCCACAGCTAATGCTAGTGATGTTCAACGATGCAAAACGAACCAGAGGAGAGGAAGAAAAACGGCCCATCGAACAAGTCACCCAGAATTTGCAGCCCCTCCCAGCTCATGTAAGGCGCTGTTGAGAACAGAGATGAAAAAAACCTCCAGATTGAAATTATGAAAAAATACATAGTAACTAAACAATAGAACCTTTATACAAATACTATTCATTGTATTATATTTTCATTTGATTTAGTGATTTTGTATTGATCGAACATCAATAAATCTACTTAATGTACTCAGGCCATGTTTAGTGTATACTGTAGTATCAATAGGGGTGTTCACACGGCACACATTTGCATCGGTGCTGCACCGACGTATTTTGTTGCGATATATCTTACACCAGTGCAAATTTTGTGGAGCGTTCACACGTAAAAAGCTGCTGACTAAAGAGAAGCGTGTTTACCCTGGTGCAGTCCCACTTGCGTTCACACAGCAGTTTCTGCGGCCGTGCAAAACGACAGTATTAATACGGAAATAAAACAAAGAGCTGTCGTGGTGGTTCTTTTTAAAACATACACTTTACTCATATGTTTATCTCAAGCAACTACAGGCAAGTCCTTCTCCTTCTCGGTCTCCGTGCCTTCTGCTCGAGAGGCGTTCAATGACCGCCCCTGAAAAGATAAATCATTGATGACTTCAATGACACTCAGAAAAGCAAACATAATGCGGCAAACAGAAAATCAAGAGAGGAAATCACAAAATAAATTCTATGGTGGGGTTGTGAACACACAACAGAGGAACAAATTACACAAACAACTCCGAAACAGTTCAGTCTCCTACAAAAGGAAAGATGACAGAAGTACAACAGAGCATGAAAGCAACGCATTCTACCCGTATGTAATCAACTCGCGTTCACACGTACCATTTTACATCGGTGCTGCCCCGCAAACGAGCATTTACTCCGGAGCAAATTTTTAAACCACCTCCTTGAGCAGGGTTAAATTTGCTCCGGTTTAAGCTGTTTTCAGGGGCTACACCGGTGTAACTTTGTACGTGTGAACGCTCTACGGGAGCAGCCCCGGTGCTGCACCGGAGCAAAAGTTGCCGTGTGAACACCGCTAAGGCCAAACAAACAATATAGTGTGTTTCCGGTAACATGAAATTTCAGCATAGGGTCGTTAGGTCGGACGAAGATTTTTTTTTTTTTTAAATCTTTTTTTTTTCCTCCATCAAAAATTTAAACAAAATAACCATAAAACATAAAACAAGGAGACATTGAACCCAAGGCGGCGAGAGAGTTGAGTACCCGGCGGCTGGGTGTTAGGTTCCGAGGTCAGCCGGGTAGTGATGGCACCGGCGGGGAGACGTCCCCGACGCCGGCCGCGGCCCGGCCTAGACTAGAGTTGCGTAGACTCGGCGGACGGTGTGTCGACA